CTAATAAAGCTACTATATAATAAAAATTATATAAAAAAAAGCAAGTATAAAAAAAAAAAACTTTTATAATAAAAAATAATTTTTAATTAATAATTTTAAAAGAGTTTAAGGCGCATAATAATAAAAAAAATAAAAAAATAAGTATATACTAAAGTAGGTAAGCCTTTTTAAAAGTATTATAAATATTATAATAAAATTAAGTATAATGCGCAAATATATAAGCAAAAAATAAAAATAATTTTTAAATAAATTAGTTTATTATAATTTACTATTATAGTTTTTTATAGTGCTATACTATTATGCATAGTACTAATTTTAGTAAAGTTTTAGTATTATAACTAACTTAACTAGGCAATTAACTTGCCTGTATAATACGTTATCGAATCTTAAATTTAAATTAGTATAGTTTAGTAAAGCAAGCGCTAAAAGCACTAGTAAAAAGTTTAATTATATTAAGTTAGATATTACGTAACTGCAGGGTAGTTATGTAATAGAGGGGTAGAACTGTAACATTTAATACTAGGTAGGATTATAGTTAGAAGTAGCTGCTACTCTGTAGATCACGTCGAAAGGTTACTAATAAAGGAGGAAGGTTGAGGGGAACATGTAGTAATTACGACTGACCCATATACTAGGCCAAATAACATTACAGTAGACCCATGCCAGATGGTATCCCTGGCGTTCCGTAACCGTCATTCCTTGCCTGTACTGCAAGGCGAATTAATAGTACAGTTGCGCTTCTGTGCGCTTGTCTCTCCTGGAATATGCGTCGATGATGGTTGACACCCAGTACATGACATATGTGAGACGATAGAACTTTTTGCTTACGAAGCAGGATAACATGAAGTTGTAACTGTACAACAAGTAGATTACATGCTCCAGTCAATGTCCGTGTCGCATAATACAGCATTCGAAACGCTCTGGAGACTCCTTCGGCATGCAATTAGTGTGTAGAGCTGCTGCTGCTTGCAGCACATGTCCTACCCATTCAGGTAGTCGTTATATCCTCATCGTATAGGGTATAGGCTTTTTTCCCCCACGAACGGTGACCTGCAAGCTGGGTGGCAATGTGGGCGTCGCCCAAGTAAAGGCATTTCCGTCTTAATAGCTTTCTGGCTGCCACTAGAGTGGATTTAGACGGGTGCTTGAAGCATTCGCTTGAATGATCAAGTGGGCCATCAATCGTCGAGCGCGAAACCAGCTTTCCGCTCCTTCCGATTGATACTGTCAAGACGTGACGTACTGCTAGTAGACATGATATTGATGATGTCGCAGGATCGTCGTGGTTTTAGCGTGCACGTTTGTACATTGACTGATCTGGCATGGAAGGATTTCCGTGATCCCATCTGCGTTTCAAACTGTCGGGGAAGGAGCTAGCAACAACTTCTTGCCACATTGTGGGCGTAACGTAGGAAGGATTGGCTCCAGAATAGGTAGAAGAAGAAGAAGAAGGGAGTTGGCCTGGAGTCCCATGGATGTTGCTTGACTGAGGCGATACATTTGGCAATTGGTAATGTGATTGTGTAGTGTCCTGTGGAGCCCGCATATCGTACGAGTTGTTGCCTGAAGGAGGGGGTCTTAGCGGCGGGGACGACTGTGAAGACGCGCTGGGGGGAGGCGTACCAAAGGCAACATTCCACTGCCTGCACCACGTTAGCCTGAGCCAAATCACAAACAAATCAACTCATTCACTTACTCGAAAATGCGCTGAGGATTCCATTGCACGCTCTCTGGCACTTGTATACCGGATGTCGGTTGAGGCGCACGTTGACCAGATGCCATCATGACCAGAGACTGAGCTACGGGAGAGTCAGCCTTCGAATCGTGGTCGGATGTCGATATTGGTGGGGTGATGGGAAGTGCATGGTAGTTGACCTGACCTGGTTGTTCCAATGGCGAAGGATGGCTCGTATGGCGAGGCCGGTATGAACCTTGATTGCTTAGAGGACTGGATTGTGGAGCCACCTGAGGGCTTCCAAAGGGGAAAGTTGGCTTCAGTTCAAAGGGCTTCGAAATATCGGCAGAGAATGCTTGACGAAGGCTGTTCACTTGCTGTTGCATCTCCGGCATAGGAAACGAAGGAGCACATGTTTCTAGAATGCGCATGTGTCGGACAAAGAACTCGCTGGCGTCGCAATTGATCTCAGGGTCCGGACAGGTAATCGCAACCTGAGTGTGTTAGGTTGAGAAGCGGCGTAATGCCAGTTTTACGTACCAAGTGAAGCATAGTGCAAGTCAACACAGCATAAATGTGAAAGCTGATCCCTCTCATCATACACAACAAGCCCGGCATGCCATATGTCTTCATAATGGCCTCTTGAAGCTTGCAAAGACTTTTTGCTGCTGAATAGCAGGTAATCATGTGTTGCTTCCAAATACCGTCATACGAGTCCGAGACGGCGTGTAATTGAGGTCGAAAGTGCATGACGATGGATAGGAAATGATAGCTGTGCATGTTGGCGATTTGGTGCGAGGGGATCCATGGCGCAGAGCCATTTTGTGGATACACAATCTGCATGTCTTCAGGAACCTCCCGTAACCACAGGGAGAAGTCCGCGTTGTGGCCCACAAAAGCTGGATCTAATGCCCAATCAGTGGTCTTCTTCCTCAATCTTCCAAATATGAGCGCCGTCTGGTAGACGTTCTTTGCTACACGGGTGTACTGGATGAACTGGCGAGCGATCTGAAATTCGGCAGGGTCCTGTCCGGCAATCGGCCTCGGCATATCATAATCTACGGTGTCGGGTTCGACGCCGAAATCGTAACGTCCTAATCAACACGTGAGCCATGCTGCTACACGTACCATGCGGATAAACTCACCTTGAGGGCCTCCAATCATAGCCTCGAATATCAAACACATTTGCCATACTCTAGTCTTAGCAACGCAATCATGAGCCGTTGATCCGCACGATCTGCCCATTTGATGAGTGTCATAATGCTCGTGTAGTTCCAAATCTTTAGCCATGGCAACAAGACCGACAGTGGCCATCCAAGAGCGCCAGAAATATCCTCGCTTTGGCGAGGCCTCGCGAGCCTTCAAGAGGAGTACCATGGCTTGCATCGTACTCAGGCGTGACACGTCCTTGAAGCTCTCTTCATGCTCTAATTCATGTTAGCAGAGTAGGTGGATGGAGCAGATCGGCAAGGCACTGACTAGTCGCAAGAGCTAGCCACTTGTTGCCCTCGTCAAGATCGCCTAGCATCAATGTCGAGCAGGCGAAAATAGCTTCTAGCATGAGTGGTGAGATTGAGTCGCGCGCATTTTGCCATTGTTGGTAGAAGTAGGCCTTGTTGATTACTGGGCAATAGGGATGAATGTTGGCAAAGAAGTATTCAAAGTAATGCAGTGCTTGCTCTTCCGAAGGCATCATCTCGGGAGGGATGCGAACGGTCTGATCCAGACTGACGGACGGCGGCAGTTGCACCTCGTATTCCTCCTGTGCTGGCGTCTCAGCCAACGTCTTTTTCATGTTAGTGATGTACGGTGCTGGGCGCAGAGTCAGTAATGGGGTTTTGACACGGGGGGCAGAGACTCGGCTAGGGCTTACCAACTGCCGTGTGGTCAATCTTGAGTTCACCCAAGGCGTCTGAAAGACTCGACACGGACTCGCTACGCCAATTGGGTTCGGATTCTGGAGGGGTCATGGTCATTGCGGGTGGCGGGGCTGCAGCCTGTGAGTATGCCTGTTGCGGGGCGTAACTCATGTTCTGCTGTGGGGCTTGGGGCTGCGACATGGACTGATAGTGAATGCCCTCCTGCGGCTGCTGGTCACCGTAGGGCGAGGGCTGATACATGGCAGAGACGGGAGTCGGGAGGGAAGGCGTCATCTGGTGGGTCATGACCTGTGGCATGGACGGATGACGCTGGTAGTCATGATGGGACGGCGCGTCCGGGGCATAGTCCAAGGGCTTGGGCTCCAGCTCGAATGTCTGTGAGCCGTTGAAGTCCTTGTCATAACTGACGGTGGGTGGCACGCAATTGAGCTTCAGGCGGATGCAGGCGGCGCAAGGCCATGCGTTGGTCGTGGCTGCATCACACTTGATCTTGCGTCTGCGGCAGCCCTCACATGCTCTCATGACTGCCTGGCATTAGCAAACTGGATGATGGGCTCGGGGCAGCAAAGGAAGGGCAGGGCGCACCTTTTAGACGCTTGTGTCTGTTATGCTCGTCTACAAAGACGTAGTCTAGACGGTAGGTTAGACTCTAGTCCTGCATTCCAAGGCGCACAGCGGCTGTGGTCAGACTCACTGCGCTGGTTCTCGCGCGGCGCCAGCGTCGGCGGCGCAAAGGTGAAGCTCTGCATCTGGGCCGTCTGTGGCAGCAGTGGCCGTCCAGTGGTCTCTGGGGGCATGTCGTCGTCTATCTACCACCACCGCTACTACGACGCCTACTACTACTATTTCTGCTGCAACTACTGCAAAGCAACAACAAGAACAAGAACAAGAAGAAGCAGGCCGTCTGGAGCAGACAGCGCGGGTCCTGGTGCGGTGGTCGCGAACAGCGGGGTCGTCCGCTAAGAAGGGTGAGGTTGAGTGCAGTCGTCGTGGGTGCGCGCAGCCAATCGAAGCTTGTCGCGACAGCGGTCTAGAATCCGCAAACCGCTGACGGACGGAAAAAAGGCCAAGTTGTGCTGAAGTGGGCTGAAAACGAAAGGATGCTGCTCATGTGCAGCCCTCCAGCGGGAGTGAAATGTCCGCAGCGCCGGGCGAGCAATGGTAGGTTATACGGCAGATCAGGGCGCATAGGGAGGGTGAAGGAGGGTAGGTGGAGACGACGACTGGCATGCCGGGGGGGTCCTCGACGACGCACTGCAGCGGGCGCGCAGCGTGGCTCACGCGTGCACTAGCTAACTGGGGGGGCGTCGGGGTATGGGTCTCGTAGAGCCTTGGGTATCGTATAATAAGAAGCTGTAGCTCGCTGTGCTGTGGATGAAGGGGGGGAGGGCGGGGGGGTGGTATGGATGGTCAGTAGGCGGGCGAGGTAGAAGATGCTGCCGGGCAGACGGGGCAACTTGCAGGAAGCAGGAGCCGCACCGCACAAATAGCGCCTCGTACACTAAAAGCACACAGGCACACAAGCTCACAAGCGCTTCCTTCCAAGATGCAGGCGGCGGCGATGGGAACTGCCGTGCTGTGGGGTGTGTGTGTGTGTGTGTGTGTGTCTTGTCCGTCGCGCTGCTGCTGCTGGTGGCTGCGCCGCAACTAGTTAGTCGTCTCTGGTCGCGGAATCTTGAATCGTCGGTCGCATCTGTGGTCCTAATCGTAGTTCAAACCGTAGTTCAAACCGTAGTGCGCATCGCAGAATAGCGGCGGGAAGTCTGACAGCTAGCTGAGCAGCAAAGCACTCTCGTCATCGTACACAGTTCGTACATGGGACACACAGAGCGGACAGGCTACGCAACGCGGCAAAACGACCTGGTCAAGTGGCGGGAGCGTTCCCTGCGGCCTGGCAAAGGAACACGTTACCGCCCGTTGGACATGTCCTACATGCGCAATGCAGAGCCCTGTCTCTGATAGGGCTGGATGTCGTTACAAACCCTGCGCGTGCGCGCTGCCGAGTCGTGTAGGTAGCTATCAAGGCTGTCCTTGTTTCCAAAGCGCCTCCTTGGAACCTGCGCACATGCATTTCCAACCCTTCCATAGTCTCTCTCTCTCTCTCTCTATACAGAGCCCGCTCAAACGACGTGGGGCATCTTCTAGAATTCTAGAATGTGCCCCCCCCCCCCTCCCTCAGATGCTAGATGCTAGCCTCGATGACGAACGGTGGTGCCGGGTTCGAGTTTTTTGAAAACCACAGGCCATGCATGGTCAGCACAACAACTATAATAGGCACCAGAGACGGCCCGCAACTGGTGTCGTGACGACTGGTCGGAAACATCTCCATGGTCGCAGATTCGACATCAGACGGACAAAGCTTTTGGCCGGGTCGGGCATCAATGGCTGAAGTCCAAGTCTGTGTGGCCACACGACACCTCGGCGAATTCAATCTTGGTAGCTCGACGGCAGGTGCTGCATCAACCAGCTAGCGCCGTGAGTCCTTGTATCGCATTTGGAGAGCGGCGTAGCCCTGCAACCAGGGACGCATGAGGTACTAATGAAAATCCAAAGTATAATAGCAATATTACCTGAGTGTGTGCGCGGGCCCTATCTACAGAAGGGTACCTAGGCATGACGTTGCATGCATGAACCGAACACGAGTGCTAATTATTGCGTTTGCGTGCCCGGGGCGCTACATGACCAGCAGAGACTGGGATAAGGTTTAGTCCCGACTTCCTGGGTCCGTAGCTTTCATTGCTGTGCTGCCAAAACGGCGAGCAGACACGGTCGTGTATGTCGTAGTGCGTGAGAGTGACCTCGGCATCGCAGGATGGGCGACGGCCTTGATCAAGTGTCACATGGCGAGAATAGCCAATCAAGCCATATAATAATTGACCCCCTTTCCCCACCCCACTACTTTGCTCCCTAAGCACGCCTATCTTATCGCATCGTATCGCATCGGTACCGTATCGTACCGTACCGTCAAGTGTGAGGGTCACATGTCTATCTGATCGGCTGCTCCCGTAGGATGAGCATGACGGAAGCGTTGCCCTGTGGCCAACCACCTGGCTGGCACCAGGTTTCCGAGCCCTTGCCGTGTTCCTGAAGGTGCAGCGGGCAGAGTTACAAAATAACATGCTAGGCTCGGCTCCACGAATGTCATGGAAGACACGGGTGGGCTTCGATGCATCTACAGCGGCGCCAGCAGCTGTCAGTCGTCGTACCATTCCGCAAGAGTGCATACGGGAGACGACTTGGCAACGCCCGAACATGGTTTCTGCATCATCTGTGCTAAACTATGTCGGGGTCACCTATCCATAGAGGAGGGGGGGGCGTAATCTTGCCACATGCCACAGGGATAACAGCCCGCGTCGGTCCGTTGAGATGGCCCGCCTGGCAACACGCAGAGGAGGAGCAGGAGGAGGAGAGGAGCACGGTTCTGTACATGATGACCGAATGACTTGCAGGGCTCAATTGCAAGTGCATCATGTGGGAAGGACGACACTAGCAGGGCACGGCTACCACCTCGAGGAGTGTGAGCGTCGAACCCCACACCAAGGGCCCCTGCAAACGCCTGATTATTAGCATAGCAATTGGTAATATAGTAATAATAGGCCGAATCCTTCCAAACGGCCTGCTTGGACGACGACTTGGGACTGGGACTGCATCGAGGGCGTTGTTGGGCGACGGCGGTGGCGGCTTGGCGCTCTCTTTGCAGCTCTGCAGGGGGGGTAAGCCTTCCCTCGCGCCAACCACACGCAGCAGACGCCTCCTCGCATCACCAGTACCACCCACTGATCACCCTCACCCTCACCCTCACCATGGATATCGACAAGGACAACGCCAACCCGACTATCCTGAACCCCTCCGATCTGCCCTCGCGCCGCCGTGAGTCGACGGGCAGGCGGCGTGATGATGGCGGGACAGGCCTCTTCAATGACCTGATACCGCGCTACAACTATCTGAGCGATGCCTTTGACGACCCGGTTTCACCAACTGACTCTGATGACGACGCCCGAGAGGACATAGACGAGCAGGAAATCTACGGTACGCTCGTCCACCTCCTTGTTTCGTCCACGACGGCAGCTGACCACGCGCATGACAGACCTCATTTCCACCATCTGCGACCCCGAGCACCCTTTGTCCCTCGGCTCCCTGTCCGTCGTCAACCTGCCAGACATCCACATCCTGCCGCCGACCTCTCCGCTTTCCTCCATTAGCACCGTGGTCGTAGAGATCACGCCAACCATTACCCACTGCTCCCTGGCCACAGTCATTGGCCTCGGGGTACGCGTGCGGCTCGAGCAGGCACTGCCTCCTCGCTTTCGCGTCGACGTGCGCATTAAAAAGGGCACACACAGCACAGACGCGCAGGTGAACAAGCAGCTTGGAGACAAGGAAAGGGTCGCCGCCGCCTTGGAAAATGGCACCTTGATGGGTGTGCTGAGAAAGATGCTTGCCACGTGCGAATAACGTTCGTCATCTTGCTGCCAACAATAGAACACGCAAATCGCGTCCTCCTATAGTCGACTTCTCCGGCATGGCCAGCATTATCCCAGCTATGCCAAGTATCGATTTTCAAAACTGGGACGTCCAATATTTGTCGCCTCGCCCCCACAACCACGCTCGACCGTTGAGAACCTGGAACGGTGCCGGTAAACTACTGCAGGTCCTTGTAACCCTATGGCTACCGCTCGCCTCCGGTCAATATACCGCACGCGGCGCGTCTGGGCTCCCCTGTCGTCGATTGGTTATATCGCTCCAATTGTAGCCTCCTCTGGCAAAATACATCAGGGCCAAGCCTCTCGTAGATCAAGCAGCCGTTTCGATAAAGATCATGTTTAGCCGTGAGCATGAGCCTCGGTGTTTGGTGGGCGACGAGATTGGCGTTGGACCAACACTTGACGGGGATGGTCAATGGCTTGAGTCCTTTTTAGGAACATCGTAGTGCTTCCGTTCCTGGGTATTGCATGATTGCCCCTGCAGTCTTGGCGTATGTGTTCAATACCCAAATGCACTTTAGCCAGCAACAACGCACGAAATTCGAGTAAACCTGTCTCTTATGTCTACTGTCGTGGATGAAGAGAATTCATATTAGTAACGGGGCCGCCACAGAAAGATTCGTGACACCAGTTACTTCTCTAAGGGGAAGTTTTTGGTTATATAGTACGAGAGACTTCCGCCCGCAAATGATCCTGTTCTGCGTGTAGATGCCTCATCGTACGGCGAGTGACCATACAGTCCTATTAACCTTTATGCTACCTAGCCTGTGGACCGCCTAGTTGTAACTTGAACCCTCTCGACGCTGTCTAATAGTAACTCTAAACTATGCTTGATTGGCAAGCGTGTACATCATAGCTAGGTACACCTGTAATTCCATGTGAAATAGTTCGTAAGCTTATAATTGTGGTTCCCGTGACGCCTAGGACTTTGTGTTGAGTCATTCACTAATTGGCTAAAGAGAGGTGATTTGGAGCGGACGAAGCTTATGTACGAATGACGCAATTTACCGGAATTCTACTAATTGCTAGTGATGTGGAGGGTAGGGGGGCAGCCACAGCTGAAAGGAAGGAAAGCGTAGATTACTCTCATAAAAAGGCGATTAGTAGATTGGAGTGGCTGCACCGACAAAAAGTCTATGAGACAAAAACTAGAATATATTCAGATAGGATTTGAGACCATGAAATGACATGAATCTGTTGTTCCCGGGGGTATAATCCGCAAGTTATCAAGTGGGAATTCAAGAGCGCAATTAGCCCTTGGTTTGTCCACTTCTCTTTCTACGCGATTCCCATGCGGCCCTCTCGCTGTTGCGAACTACCCTGGGTGGCGACTGGTCGCATGTGCGCCGCTTTCTTCGTATCACCTGGCGCTTCATCCCACGGTGCCCGCAACGATACAGTGACTACACGTCTTCTTGTGATCAACTGCTTCACTTTGCCTTATTTTTCGCAGCCTCTGCCTCTCTCCTTGTTGCGTCCTCGAGCAACGCAGTATCAACGGCACCGGAGGGAAGATGTACGTAGCGGACAACGGAGCCTCGGATAAACATGTCTTTTGTCGAGCACTGCAATCCGTTGATTAGCCTTGCTTGACTCTGATGTCGACTGTGTGTACACAGCTATAGGTGAGACGTACAAGATGTGGCCACCGCATCTCGTCGACAGCTTCGGCGTTATCCAGCTTGATGTTCAAGTACTGATCCACGCTCTTAAGCGTCCCGCGGATCTGTACCTCGTTCTTGAGCTCGACGGTAATTTCGTGCTCGACGAGCGTTTTGAAGAAACTGACACACCATCATGAGCAAATCGGCATAGATTGTTGGCGCATGGAGCATGAAAATACGGACCTGAAGAAGAGCATGGTCGCCGGCTATGTCGATGCAGAGAGACAGCACGTGCAATTGAGCAACGGTAAGCAGCAGCAAGAGCAGTCTGGAATGTTTTAATGCGGATTGGGCGTGATCCTACCTAAGTATGTCAGTGACCGACAACACCAGCTTTCAAGGTTGAGCTCGGGCCATGTGGGGTTAGCCCTTGCCGCTGATCTGCCGAGCTTCACGTGGGCAGCCCTTCACATGTCTTGTTCGTATCAGAGCTACGCTTATATGATGTGGATAACAAAGCAGGCATTTCGAAGATAATATGCGAGTATATGGGTGATGCTATCATTGATTCATGAACAGGATAAATCTTTTGCTATGTGTGATCAGATCCAAATCCGACAACATTGTCAAGTTAGTGCCTGCTACGCCTTTCCAACCCTGTGTCTTATAACACCACGTCCCAGCATCACCTCATTACTTCCTCGCCCAGCCTGTTAGCGTCCTCCACCCAGCGAATCCTTGCGCGCCCTCCTCGAGCACCTGCACGACACCCTCCAACAACCTCTTCTCATCTTTGCCCATCTCCATCTGCAACCTCAACAGCCACCTCTCCCATGCCCAGCTTCCAACGATACCAGTCAGCATAGCTGCATCAATCGTAGTGCCAAACACCGGTGCATCCTCAAGCTCCACCTCTCCATCCTCAGTGATCCTCTTCTCCTGTTGTTGTGGCTGAGCGCCTACATTGAGTTCCTCGCGCCAGTTTGCGGCAGTCTTGCCCATGGGGAGTACCATCCAAGCTCGCTGAACGTCCTGGAAGCCGGCTTTGGAGACGCGCGGGAGGAACGTCTTCGTGGGCTGCGCATCGTAGCCACGAGTCTTGAGGTTGAAGCCGAACTCGACGCCCATCTTTTGCGCGTTGCGACCGGCGTGAATCACGTCCGCGTCCATCAAGGAGAAGTCGAGGATACCACCAGCCTTCAAGCAGCGGTAGCACTCCTTCAGGCAAAGATCGTATTCATCAGACGGGCGACCAAGGGGCTTGCTGGTCTTCAGAAGCTCGTAGAGTGTTCGGGCCGAGATGACATCAAAGTGACCAGAGGGAAAGGGTAGAGTCCACAGATTGGGCACCCTGAGATGCTTATGATTGTCTGGGCCGGTCACACTACCAGACATGTTGTTGCCTGCGGTGTAGACTGTAGTTACTGTAGCATATGGATAGTCGTACGCAACGTCCCACGCCCAGTCACTGGTCGGGACACCCCCGACGTCAAGAATGCGTGGAGCGCTAGCGCGGGTAATGCATCGCGCAGCGGGCTTGCTTAGCAGCTTGCCACCATTGAGTTGCTTCTGTGCCTGTAACACCCAGTGGATGGGTAGCATCTGGTCAAGTGCTTGACGCTCCATCTGCGCGCGTGCAATCCTCTCCTTCAGAACAGTCGGGTCGTTGACGAAGAACTCCGAAACGGGTCGTGGGGGCGCTGGGCGATCTGGCTGGCTAAGTTCGAACTTGCCGAGGAGCTGATCGCGGTGAGCCAGGGGATTGCAGCGGCGCTGGACGTGCATGGCCTCGGCGCGAGTCTGGCGGTGGATGAATGTGTCCTTAGTTTGGGACCTGGAGCGGAGATATTCGAGACCTTGAACGTAGGTCAGGACTAGCTCCGGTGCCGACTCGTCAACTGGGGACTTTGCGGGCTCCTCGGCGAATGTGACAGACTTCTTGAGCGCGGGCCTGTCGATTGAGTCCCCGCGGCTGTGGGCTTCGCTGGAGAGGGTGGGGGAGCTCATGTCCGACATCTCACGCAGAGCAGACTGTAGCTCGTCCTGCTCCTCTAGCCAACGTCCAGTCATCTCGAGATTAACAGAAGACAACTTCTGGAGCTCAGCATTGTAGTTCTCATTATACTGGAAGATGGTCTTGCTTGGGTTGATCTCCTTGATCTCTACATTTTCATCGGTGGGGCTGACGATGACTGGTCGTGGTGTTGCCAAAGGCTCCTCGTAGCCATCAAGAGTCGAACCTGCTAGGGTTGAAACGCGCTGGGGAAGAGCTGGCAGGGGTTCTGGGGCAGTGTTCCTTCGGCTCTCCCACGGAAGGTTGTAGAAGTTCTCAGCGGTGGAAGTGTTTGGAATGGATTCTTCTCGCTTAGGGATGCTCCAGGTGTGGCGGACATCTGACTGAAGCGAAGAGAAGAAACCACCTGGAGATGGGACTGAGAGTGCAGATACGGGGGTGCTGCCAGAGGATTCGTCTCCAAGAAGTGTCGAAGGGATGCTCAACCCTAAGGTTGGTCGAGATACCTCCTGCATCTCGCCTCTCATCTCGATCGACTGAGATACCTGTTGCCCGTACTGCTCCGTCGATGGCGAGTTACCAAGGTGCTGAAGCGTCTCCATTGCTTGCATATCAAGCTGTACAGGCCCCCATGAGTCGACGCTGGAGAAGGAACCGCGTCTCCGCTGGTTGACTGGGGTAGCTGGGCAGCTAAGCTTATCCATCTCTTCTGAAGTCAGGCTGCCGTCCAGGGAAGGAGCAGCTGAGTGTGCTGGTACCTGTAGATTGTGCGAGTCGATCATATCCAGAACGCGACGGGACGGAGTTAGTAGGTGGGACGGAGTAACTGGCATCGCCGAGGTTGCACTCTTAAATTTCTCAATTGTTGGCCAAGCGGATGGCGAGGGAATTACGATTGATGGATAGCGTCTTCGCTTTGGCTGGCTGGCAATTTTCTTGACAGATGCAGATGCATGGAGAGGCACTTCTGCTTCATCGTCGGTGATGTCGTACAGCGAGTCGAAGTCGCTATCTGCTCGACTCGCGCGATTTGGTTGTGGATATGAAGCTGAATGGGTTGGGTAGCGCGGCGACATCTGCGGCGTCATATCGAACAATCGTGCCTTGGGGGTGGGAAAGTCGTCGACACTGGAAGGTGACACGGCACTGGGTAGATAGGTCGAGATGGGTGAGTACCTGGGCGCAAAGTAGTAGGTGGGAATGGTGGAGTCGTCGTCAACGACATTAACTGCATGTCTCTGGTCCAGCGGAGACATTGCATATTGAGAGTCGACCATGGTGCCAAGGCATGCAGGATCGTATACTGCAGGTTGAAGTATCTCTGGCATGATGGTATATTGGGCTGATGTGAGCACCGCCTTGTGCTATTATTACTAAAAGTACTTTGGAAAGCCGAGATAGACTGGGGGGTTTGGCAGGGGATCGAACAGGAGCGATATTAAATTTGGGTGATGACCCTGAACGGCGCTGGTCAACAGCTTACTAGTAAAAATGGAAGCGCTTCGATCAACGAAGACTCAAGGGGAGAAAAAAGGGACTCGGAAGGAAACAGAAGTGAATGGAGAGCAGAAAGCGGACGCGAGCGCAACGGCGAGAGGATATATCACGCGTAGACGCCATCTGGTCGACTCACTATGGGCTAGTGCTACTGTGACATTCGCCCGAGCTGCATCGCCAGCTGTTCGTCCACTCGCAGAAGGGGCCGAGTGCAGGTGGAGAGGTGGGAGCGGCTCAAGGCCGGCCACGACAGAGCGACCGCCTTTCCGCCGCCGTGGTTGGCCAGCTGAGTACATGGAGAGCAACGTTTCTACCAGGCGCTGATGGGATTTCGGTTAGCAAGGCGTTGCGCTGCGCGGCGTGGTTGGGTGTTCTCTGTATAAGCGCCGGCCTAGGTCCCAGATTCTATTTCCAGCCCTCGCGTACTGCGTGTCTAGCTAATAGTAATGCAGAACAGCATTGTACAGCATACTCGCCCAATAACGCCTCGCCAAAAGGCATTGTTTCCAGAGCAAAGGTACGTCTGTATAGTTTGGCTATATTATTGCCAGGCTGTGCGTGGCTGCTTGTTGCTGAGCCATCCCATGCCATGCGAGACGGGCCTTTTGAGACGCAGCCACAGCTATCTCGAGCGACGCGAGCACGTGAGCCCCTCCCCATAGCGACTAGGCGGGAAACGCTGCCCAGGTGAGGCCCCGCGGCATCTCTGACCTTGGAATGAGCCTGCATCCGTGCAACGACGATGCAGTGGCCAGAGACGCCAGAGACGACAGATGAGGAGTGAATGGAAGAGTCCCGATCAGGAATGAGCCAAGGCGCATCGAGGAAGGGGCAGCGTTGCCAAGCATGGGCGCGGGGCATGGCGGGGCAGGCGCAAGGCGTCTCGCTGTCAACACCAAAAAAGTCATCGTGAAGCTCCGTCACACTCAAAAGCAATCTCCACCATCATCTTTTTCTTCTGTGATTGGCGCCCCTACGTCATCTACCCTTCTCACACCCCCAGCATCGCCCCTCGCCATGTCGCCGCCTGCAATCATCGCACCGTCAATTCTGTCGGCTGACTTTGGAGTGCTGGGCAAGGCTTGCTCAGACACAATAGACCAGGGTGCCGACTGGCTTCATGTATGCGAACCTCGGTTCCTTTGGAGGCTGCACAGGACTGACGCGTCCAGGTCGACATCATGGACGGCCATTTCGTGCCCAACATGACCTTCGGCGCCCCAGTCGTCACCAAGATCCGCCCGCACGTCGACCGCCCAAGTACTACACATGGCAAGGGAACGTTTGACTGCCACATGATGATTGCAGAGCCGAAGAGATGGGTTCGCGACTTCAAGAAGGCGGGCTGCGATCTGTACTGCTTCCACTACGAAGCTGCCATCTCCTCCACAGCTGCCGACTCTCCGAGTGCAACTTCGGATCGGAAGACCTCACCTAAAGAGTTGATACGCTTCATACACAACGAAGGCATGCAAGCTGGCATCGCGATAAAGCCCAGCACACCCGTCCATGTGCTGTGGGACATACTGGCCAACTCTGTCAAGCAGGAGGTCCCTGATGTGAGTGCTATTCTCCCAATATTACCACGCTTGTCACCATCACATTCGATATCGCCAAAGAACTGTAGCCGCTATATGGTGGCATCAGAGACGTCTGAACTAGTCCATGTTTGCAAGGCTGGTACGGCTGACCCTGGCCGGGCGGTTCGCTGTGGCGGCGCTTAGGCAGGCGAACTCACGCAATGCATTCGCCCGTCACTTCGAACCTCTGTGCCCTTTTTCGAGAAGTCTACCACACATGGCCCACATACTACCTCATTCATTGGCTATTCATTCGCTCGTGTGTCTGTCGAAGTCGGACTACCCGGCAGCTACCCGCTCGCGCCCCGGCACCTCCCGCAGGATCGATAGCCTCCGACGACCAAGATCTGCGTGGATCAAATGAGCAGATAATTTCATGCTAACTATCTCAGATGGTCTTGGTTATGACTGTAGAGCCTGGCTTCGGTGGCCAGTCCTTCATGGCATCCGAACTCCCCAAAGTTACGGCGCTTCGCCAGAGGTATCCTGAGCTTCATATCGAGGTCGACGGCGGCTTAAGCGAAAAGACCATCGATCAGGCCGCTGATGCAGGTGCTAATGTTATCGTTGCCGGTAGTGCTGTCTTTGGTGCCGCTGATCCTGGAGAGGTGATTAAGCGGCTTAGGGAGGCTGTTGAAAGTAGGAGAGGGAAGTTGTGAAGCAGTTGCAGGTGAGACCGCGCATTGTTGACGATTAGATGAAGATGACGATAATTGCATGTATATGAAACCCGCATGAGCTTACGTCTCGAATAAGATAGACAGCCAATACGAAGCGAACTAGAACAAGAGCGATGGGTTCGCCTTGTATCGGCACAACTGCCTACATGCATCATTGCGACGCAGACAAGTCGGAAAGTTATAGCGACTTGATCTATGAAATATGCGCTGCTTGCATACAGAAACCTTGGTCTCCTATCATGCAATTCTCATACTTTGTTTGCTCACTTCCATAGCCAAGTTATTTCTCTCATTTACGGATCTAGCTTTTACCTGAATTCGAGGTGATTGTCTTCAAGGCAGACGGAAAATAGCGCTGGAGGACGGTCAAGTTGCTGAGCAAAGCGTTCGAAACTACATGCACACAGTGATGAGGGGCCTAACTCCGAGGTAGTTTCGGGCGTTCCCCATCGTGAACTTGGCTACATATCCCGAGAACATCTTAGCTACGACGATCTCTCTGCATATCTAGCGAATATAGCTTCCACTACGCTCAACCAAAGCAGATGGTTGCGATTTTAGGCCGGGTAAAAATGTCTATTGATACCCCAACTGGCCCATCTCTTCCATTGAAGATCTTCATTGGCTTTGTTGTGTGTATATCAGCCATAATAGTGGCGACGATCAACAGGCTCTCGGAGATAGTAGTAGCGACAGCTTATGTAGCTGTAATTGTGGTATTCGTGCGAGTCGACGAGAGGAGTTGATTAGATTCCCATGGTAAACCTACTGTCACGGAGATCTGATCAACGACAATGGAAGGAAGGACCATATCAAGAAGTCATGGAATGTTAATATGTCTACAGATCTGCATGTATGCGTCACAGGAGATGCTGAATGCATTTAGGACGCACCCATAGACCCGAGATGATGAGTATATGCCACGCAATATGAGTGAATCAAGAGTATCGATGAAGATGGGGCCGGGGCCGGGAGCGGAAGGCATCGTATGATGGATCTGTAGATTTAAGCTACCACATCGATTACGCTCGGTAGCTACCATCCATCTTCACCCAGCTGGAACAAGCCATTCTTTTTCTTATCAACAGCCCACCTCTCACACCACGCCTTCATCTTCTCTCTGCTCTTCGCACTCCCAACATTAACTGTGGGTATAATCTTGTCAATCCGCAACGCGCAACAGAACATGGTTAGTTCCCGAAAGCTGCTGTGCTCGCTGTATGGCACTCCAAAGCAGCTTGCTCGATTGGTACTTCCACGTTGCGGGGTTAGGTCTTTCATTGAAAAGGTACTCTTCCAGTTTTGGGAGTGTAAGACGCTTTGCACGGCGGGCGATTCGGTAAAACGGCTACTGGGTGGGCGGTAATTCCACCCTGACGGGCGGAAGCCCACGGCGCGGGAAAATGTGTCGGCGTAATCGCGTCGGTACTCGTCTAAGGTTTCAGCGCGAATCTCGAAGAGGGGTGTCATGTGTACTTGTGCACCGCGAGGGTCGGTAGTCAATAGTGCGTCAAGTTCTGGGTCTTCGAGAGCTTTGCAAATGCGCTGCTTGTTAGGCGGTGCGTAAATCTTGCTTTTCAGAGCTTTGGCGATGCCGACGCATATGCGCTCTTTGCCGATGCTGTAGGTTCCTACGATGACGAGGAGGCGGCCTCTTTCGTGACTCTTGGGTTCTACTGGGTCGTCTGTATTGGAGTTTTTACGAATGAACTTCACCATGCCTTGGCCGGCGCGGTCGCGCTTCATCTGTTCCCACCCATCCGAATCATCTGCGCGTATCTTATTGAGGCTAACGCACATGTCTGCGCAAGCCTGGATGACTTGCTGCTGTGGTGGGAATGCATACTTCGGATTAAGGTAGGTAGTGTCTAGATAGCAAATGTCAAGCTTTTGCTGTCTGTTATTACCGCTCACGGCATCTAACACCTCGGGCCTGAGGAGCGGATGTTCGATCTGAGCTTGACAAGCACGAAAGTCTCCACAATGTAGAACTCTTTGCGGCTTTGAATTCCTATCATTTCCCGCCTCCTTCTCAAACAAGAACAAGGAGCTGCCGGGGCAATGGTTCGCCGATATCATCGTTACAAAAACTCCTTCGGTTCCTGGGATGACAGTTTTCTTCTCGAAGTCAAGATCAACTACCCATTTTGGGTCGACACGGAGCTGTTGTCGTACCAGATTTGCAGTGACCTTGCTGCAATAGATTGGGCCATGTGACCATGATGCAGTTAGACCAATGTAGTGATCGCTGTGGAAGTGGCTGAGGAAATAGGCTTTTTGGCCCTTAACAGCTCCATATCGGAAGGCATCCACGGCGATGAAGAATCCAGGCATGATCTTGTAGAATGGACAAGTGCGCTGATAAGCAGGTTTTCCTCGAGATGCATTGTTTTCAGCTGCTGCGGATGCCCAAGCAGCATCTTCAGCGTGGCCTGCCATAAGCTTTGAAAAGGCAGACGTCGGTTCACGGCTTAATTTTCCGAGCACGAACGGATGCGCTTGACCAGGTTTTGCAGGTTTCGCTGGGGGCTTGAAGGCTTTCGCATTGCTAGTAGGGATCAGAGTGATATCTTTCCCTGTCTTTACCGTAGGAAATGGTAAGGGGTTGCCGTCCAAGCAAGCATTGACGTGCACCAACACGTCCTGTTCCGACAAGCCGAGGAGATTATTGCTACATATCGGGCACGAAGGTGGTTCTCCTTGTTCTTCCATCTGCTGATTGGCATTGCTAGTCTCGTCTTCAGGGAAAATAGGTGGAGCATCGAAGTCATCCGGGTCGCCCTTAATGCCCGCTTCTTCCATTTCCAGTCGCCGTTGTTCCCTCATCCACCGCCTTTCGTCGTACTCTTCGCCTTCAAGTAGATCATCATCGTCTACACCTTCAAATTCGTCATCAGATTTCTCTCCAGAAAACTGGGAGGTGGACTCGACCTTCAGCAGCGGAAGTATAGTAGGGGTGGAAGGCTCGGGCTTACCCGCAGGGGTTGGGTCCTTGGTTGCTTTAGTACCTGATGGTTGTTCATTCGACCCTTGCTTAGCGGTACCCTGCGTAAGAAAGGGCAATAACGCTTCTTCTTCGTCTTCGGACTCCGAGTCGTCCACGAAAGGGCCAGACTTCTTTCGTAGCTTGGGTGCCTGCCGGGAAACATGAATTGTTAGAGCATCCAAATCATGGCTTTCCACGCCCTCTGGCGGAGGCGGAGAACAGGCTGGCACTGGCACTGTCGCGTCTTGGCTGGCCTTCCTCTTTTTGATACTGCCACCATTCTCGTTGTAGCGTGCTTCGCCAACGCTCGTCTCGTCGCTCCAGCCCACATGTCCTTCCTCCGTATCGAGCACAACCGTCGGGTTTGAGCCTCTCTCCTGTAGGAAGATGCGGTTATTGATGTCCTCGGCTTTCTTGAAGAAGGCCATGATATTGCCATTCGGTGTCCCTTGTGGGTTCGGCTTCGGCTTCTTGACACTACTCGTGGGCGACTTCTTGCACCATTCCGACATTACAAGGGTCGTTTGCGTCGGCTTCTTCCTCAGCAGAGGTTTATTGGTACTAGGCTTTGGCGTAGTCTTGTTCGTCGCGGATTTGGCCGCCATGTCTGCGATTCGAGACGAGGAGTTCAGTGGCGAAGGAGCGCGACCGGTCGATGGCGTCAGTCGCGACGAGTCGGGCAGTGTGCGATTCTCGCGAGGGTTCCTGAACATCTGTAGCGTCTCTTAACAGGTCAAGGTAGGCAGTGAAGTGTGGGCAGGGTGGCGTCTAGGTCACAATTCTGGGCGTGCTTAGAAAACGCGCATGCACGTGATGAGACTACGAATTGATCGGACGTCCGAACCGCCGACATTGAGTGCACAATCGTCGTGCGACAAACATAAAGGCAGACAAGGATAACTGCTACCTCTGACTCTGCTACAGTAACACAACAGATTCCAGCCACAGCATTTATAGAGGTATTGCTGGATATGCACGTTGCTAGGACCCAAATTCATCGCATATGGATGAGGTGACAAGGGTGTAGACTTTGGGATATGAGACCAGACCAGACGAGCTGGATTTTTAAGGCGTGTTGCGGCCCTACAATGAGAGTTGATTCAGAATGCAGCATCCTCGATTAGGAGACGCTGGCTGGACGTTGAGCACCCTTCCTCGTGTAGAGCAAGGAAAGACAACTCTTGCTTGACCCTTTCAGGGCAATACTCTCCAGACGAGCAATAAGGCTATTGTTGCTCATGTTCTAGCGGCCATAAATGGATGTAGATCACTTCATAGCCCCCCGTGCCAGCTTCCATTTTATCATTCCTCTCTCTACTCTGGTGGCGTAGTCTCCACTCTCGTGCTCGTAAGCTCCACACAATTCTGCCCTTGCGGATCAACCGTAATTTGCGCCTTCTCATCATGTCCACTCTGGCATGCACCACTAGCACTGACCAATTGTCCATTTGCAAAACTGACCGGGTCCAAGTTAGGGTCAGAGCAATCCTGTGCAAGGAACGTGGTCCCGTTGAAACCTACGCATGCATCTGTGCTCACCTGATGGAGTAATTGGGTTAGCAGGTATCTGAAATATGCTATAGAGTGAAGTTTGCTCACGAGGTCTGGCCGAAAGCCGTTTGAAAAACTGCGCTGCACATTGAGGACGTTGGCGCCAGAGATCGTGGAGGGATTCAATTGTCGGTCTGCAGCTGCGTTTACGCAAGCTGCGTCTACTATCTCGCCTATTACTACTTAGTAAACAAACTTTACAGTAAACTCATCAGGTGTGTGTACCATTATTCCGGAAGGTAATACATTCATTTCCAGGAACGCCGTTTGTTTCCTTCAGAACGATGGATTGGGTGCCCTTCCTGAGAGCGGTGTTTTGCCGCGTGATGACGCTTGCAGAAGCGATGGATATACGGAGTAGAGTAGTGATAATCTTCATGTTGAAAGTAGTGAGAAATGAAGCTACCTGACGATTGTATAGAGTGTATGTATTGATGGCAGAAACATGGAACAAGCGATGGGAAGGGAATCGTTTTTAACGACAATGGTATGAGTGCACATCCTAATGACTACGATGTGGATGACAGACTTTATAGGTCTTGCAAAGCCACTTTCATATGGGTCGACTTACAGCGGCGCGAGGGCAGATCGGAGAAGGGGGAAGGATGGCGGCGACAGGTAAAACGCACTAATGGGGGATCACACACTCTTAGGGTATTTAGCGAAGCAACCCGAGAAGAGATGATTCTCACAATCGGTGCGGTGGATTCAGAACCTCCGCAACGATACTTGCGTTGGCGTTGGCGTGGTGTGCGAGCTACTTCACGTAGCAATAATGGACATGCGCAAGTTGCTATTGCTTCTTTATAGCCCCCACCATCTGTAGATCCTCGAGAAGAGGCACTACATTGTGCAAACAGTATCAAGTTCAGACTGACGTTTGGGATGCCTCAGTGCGAAACCGCATCTGAAACTAGGCTCGGAAATTGTCGCGAGGCATGCTTATACTCTCCGCTTGTATCTAGGGTGTATACTGAACGGTATTTCTACATTACTGTCCTTCGAGACTTCGAGAGTATCCAGCCCATCTTAATGATAGTGATATCTAAGTTAGAGTTTGGGTTGCTCTCCCAAGGCCATGTCTGAGGGCTTTTGGGACTAGCGCTTCCGCTTACATACATACTAAGGTGGATCAGCCGATGAACCGTTTCAGCCAATAAACCACCCTAATATTAAAATAGATTTAACACGTTATCTTTAAACTGCAATATATTTACTATTAATAATTTAATTTTAAATATAATTGTAGTAATTAATTTATAAAATTTTAAAAAATAATTTTTATACTATACAGCTGCAAAAATATTTAGTATTAACTAAATTACTTTAGCGCGCTAATACTAAAAAAAAATATAATTAAATATAAAAAAAGCTTAATAACAAATATATTTTAATTTATAATAAAAATTAAAATTTATATAATATATATAAAGTTTATTTAAATGTAAGCTTGCACTTATAAAAGCTATAATAAAAAAAATTGCTTTTAAAGTATTAAAATAAAAAATTTCTAATATATAAATTATGCAATTTTTAAAAAAATATTATAATACTTTTACTTTTAAATATACTATTAAAATTAATTATAAATAGTACTTAGCTAATACTAAGCATAGCTATAA